AATTTTGGGTGGTAGCATCTTGATAGGGTTGCGGTGATGAGCTCGTCCAACTTGAACCTTTGGATTGTGGGGGTGCAAAGTAAGTCTGGCTCAGCCCAAATAATGTTCCATAACTGGTGTAAAACCCTTATAATAACACTTAGAGGAGATTGCTAGTACCGGGTAACTCGGTGATATGAAAATAAGCACAGCACTAACGGTTGGTGGCTTAGGACATGAAATCAAAATCATGTAGCTCACTCTATTAGATTCAGTAGCGAAATCTCATATGCCCTGGCTTAAGTTTATGTGTTATTGTAACATAATTTTATCCTTTCTCAGACATTGGTGTGCAGTTCAATCCGCCTTATCTTTCTCGGTCGTTGGACGTGATCTCCATCTCAAAAGTTGCTTTTCTCGTGCCTTCATACGTCAATGAATCAATTAAAAGTTAGATGGCCGATAGATCATCAATGTTGGATGCACCGACTCCCCCTAAAGATGTCATGCCCCATCATGAGATAACCATCTAGAGCCGCACAAAGAATGAACGGATGGGAGCTATATCCTATGCATTGTCTGATAAAACGGGAAACTTGGGACCGAAATTTTTAGAGTACTAAACTCTTGAGTGTTTGAAAACTATAACTATAGAACTCTGAGGTCGAAATATATCTGTTATCACCATGAATTTGAATGGTCGATGATTTTTTGTTCTTGGTGGCATTGAATATAGTGGAATTATCAAATGGTTGTCAATATATAGTTATCAACCGGCGGAGGAAGAAGGAAATTTAAAAAGAAAGAAAAGAAAAGAATAATTATAAAAAGTTTTAAAAAATTTTAAAAATTGTCTATATTAGCGCCCGTCGTGGCATATAAGGCGGTCGACGTCCATGTTAGCAATTTTCAACCAATTTTGGCTGGAATGTGTTTAGAGCGTGCAGCAAAAGCTTGATATCTTCACCCGAGTAGATCGCCAGAAGGGAGACCAAGTCCGAGCTTGTCATCATATCCAATTGGATCCACCTCCACTCAAAAGTTTAAGCTAATAAGGTATGGACTAACTTAGATATATTAACTTTTTCACACTACACCAATTTTCCAATGTTAGATATTTCTAATACAACTCACACATACATTTTAACAATCTCTCATTCACGCGTGACCTCAGTGTTAGGTTTGCTCTCCCTTAATTTAAGTATTATTCTATATCAACTAATTTCAACTTGAATCTCCAAATCATTGCAATGCACCCACAACTATGCACAAGAATCGTCATCATCTACTAACTTGGGATTGCATCACCAGACCAATTGTTTGTGGTCTCTTCTTGCTAGATTGGTGTTATCATGGTCTCTTCTCGATGTACCAACCGTTATGGCAATTTCCACTTGAAACAAGCGTCAATCATGAGATTTCTTTCTTGAGATATGAACAGATTGGGGTGGAGCACCAATCAACTATCAGCTCCGATACCATTTGTTGGGAGCACACAGCAGGAGCCCTATACTTTCACCCAGGGCAATCGCCAAAAGGAAGCCTATGTCCAAGCTCGTCAACATTTTCAATTAGACTCACCTTCACTCAAAAGTTCAAGTCAATGAGTTATGGGCCAACTTGGATATATTAACTGCTCCACACTACACTACACCAATTCTTCGATGTGAGACTTTTTAACACAACTCAGACCCGCATCCTAACAGAATGACTAAATTGACGAATTGTCAAAAGGTTTATGACTCAATTGGCACAATTGAAAAGATAGATTTAGGACTTTTTGGTGATTTTCACCCAGAACCATAGAATTGTTTGTCCAACGGAAGGAAAAAGATGATAGTTTGGTGTACATACTATGAAGAATAAGCAATTCAAGCATATAGAAAATGGTTCAACTAAGCTACTAAACAACTTTGAGCAAATTAATATCATGGCTTCATAGTTTGTCGTCATTTATCAGCGACGTGCCATGGATCCACGAGATTCTTGAGCTTGCATTGGCAAAGGCCATGGTGTACATACTATGAAGAAGATTTCCTCCTTTCGCAATCCTTTTCCCCCTGAAATATCCTCCATTTGTTGTTTTATAAATATTTTATCAACAAACAAATCTATTGAAATTTGAATCTTTCTTATCCTACTCACAACCTTGTCAAAAAATAGTTTAAGCTTAAAATACTTTTAATTTTCCACATACATACGTGTGAATTATGTTGGATGTATGCCCTAAAGTAACTATGTAATGGTTACATGTTAGGGATTTAAGTTGTACTATCAATTTCATTATTTATTTAACGACAAAAATGTATTCATTCATTTGTCCAATTATATATATATATATATATATATATATATATATATATATATGAATGATTCCATAAAATTAGTTGTGACTAAAACTATTATGGAGACGTTAAGAATATGTATGGGTTCATCATTAGACTGAATTTTTAACCGTTCTCGTTCGATGGATCATTAAGTGGATATTATCCTGTTGAGACTGGTGTGTTCTTAACTTCACCATTAAGTATTGAATACTTAAGGGAATGACAAGTAATGAGTTATTGGGTATTGTTATGCCTGAGTTAGAACACATATGCTTGTATCAGACATGTTCACTGAACGTGACATGTATAGAATGATTAGCAACATAAAAGCCTAATCGTTCATACTCTGGTCTTCTGTAAATAATTCTTAGACCTGAGGCATAGTATTGACTTGTATGTTGGACGACTATGGTTCACATGTGTGCATATTGCTAGTTCGTTGATCCTTCTCTGTACTTGATGGTCATAGTTCGTTCACATTGTGTGCAAAATGGATTTCGTCTCCTTGTTACATGCAAGGTACAATAATTATGTCTTATGCGATCTAATCATGACACTGCATTGAAATTAACGACCGGGATTGTAACCAAGAATGAACTATTTATGTCTCGTAAAACTGCATGTCAATTAAGTTTGTATATATGATCGAATTGGTGGCTTGACAAATATTCTATGGTCTTTATTCGATCGAGATATAGTAAGACAGATGGATTGAATTACACAATAGTAAAAACTGACAGGTTCATTATGTCCTTAAAGCATTCACACTGTCTGTGCAGCCATGACATATTGTTAGATGTCAATCATGGTTTGCAAGAGTTAAAGATTGATCGAGACAATCAATTCTCTTGAGAGTACTATTGTGTTAGTGCAAGTCTTACTATCAACTTAATGATGAATCTACCATAACCAATTCAGGATTACATTAAACGGGAGAGATAATATTGCAAATATTCAAATTGAATCGAGCTAAAATTAAATTAAATAGGATTTTATTTTATTTTTTGGTCATAGGTGTGCATGCATATGATGCACACGAAATACATACATGCTAGTTACGCACTCTTATTTTTAATCATTTAAAAAAATAAAAAAATGATTAAAAAAAGGGGATTATGCAACATGTGTGAGTGAAAGGTAAAAAGTTTATCTCTTCTGGTGCCGCCATGATTGAAATATCGAAAGTGCGGAAAATTGTCTCCACGAGATTATTTGCACAATTATAGTGGTGATTACCCGCAAGTTCTTTATTCTATTCGACGTGCGATTGGTGGTGTATTTGAACTAGAAGTCCGACGTTTATGAGGGCTCAAACTGAAGATTATCCGAGGCATGCTGCGAGAAATAATCCGTATAATCACTTTGTTCTTCTGATTTTTTATTAAAACACATGAACAACACATTTGGAGATACATATATGGTTTTATTTTTATTTATGCTTCCACTGCTTCTATATTTTGTTTTTAACTCTGCATGTACCTGTGAACACCAGCATTTTCGTGTCAAACCAATAGTATCTTTTGATTAATTAGTAATTCAGATATTTTGTAATAATACGATGTTGTAAGATCTTTTCAACGTAAGTCGCCATCGCAGGTGCTTTTTTTGGTAGTAGATTGAATGGAAAAAAAGGTTAGGGGGCATTCGGCAACTTGCCAAATAGTAAAAAATTTTGTTCTTTTGTTCCCATAATCAGTTTGGGAACAGAAATCCATTTGTTAAAATTTTTGTGCCCGAGCACAAATTTGCAAATAATTGTTCCTAGAATCAGTTTTGGAATAAAATCAAGAAGCAAAAAAAAATAGCTTCTTGATTCTGGAACAATTTTTTCATTTCTGATTCTTCTTGATTTTCTTCTTTTCTTTTTTATTTGTTCTTCATCTTCTTCCCGGTCTATCGCCAGCGACCGCCCACCGGCAACCGTCCACCGGTGACCGGCGATGACAAGGTCGGCTTTGCCCATATCTGGCGAGGCCGACCTCGTTGTCGCTGGGGCAGCGATGGCGAGGTCGGCCTCACTAGATCTAGGCAAGGTCGAGCCTCGCCCGACCAAGGCGAGGTCGAGCCTCGCCCGGCCATGGTGAGGTCGACCTCCGCAACGGCCAGGTCGGCCTCGCCTTGGCTGGGCGAGGCTCAACCTCGCTGTGATCTGGCGAGGTCGGCCTCGCCAGATCTGAGCGAGGTCGAGCCTCGTCCGGCCTGGCGAGGCCGACCTCGCCGTCACGACCGGCGAGGGCTGGGACGCCCTTGCCAGCCCTGGCCTGTTGCCAATCGCCAGCACCGGTGACCGGCCATGTCCAAGGAAAAAAAAGGAAAAAAAAAAGAAAGAAATATTAAAAAATTCAAAATATTAGTAATAAAAAGAAATTTTGTGTTGTTAGCAAACGCATTTTTGTTCTTTTTCTATTTTAAGAATAGAAATTTTGAGTAATTACCAAACGCCTTCAAATGCTTTGAAATTATTTTCGGGTACGAAATAAAAAAAATTTATTTTTAAATATAATCTATTTTCGAGTACATAATGTTTGCCGTGCGCAATTTTAAAATACTTTCGCTCTGTGACTCTGGATCACAATGGAACAATTCGTCATGTTGCTTTCCCTCGTACTTTTCGTTCTCTGAAACCACGCATGAAACTCTCGAAATTCAAATTCAATCGTTTTCATTTTCTGTACTTTTCAATCACTGTCTGTCTGTGTGTCTCTCTCTCGAAGCAACACGTATGTAAAAGCCTGCAAAGCCGCGAGGGAAGCTGGATAACCTCCCTTCCGACGTTCCGATTTCCATGTCACTCCCTCGTCACGCAAACTTTCCCTCGCAATTCCCCTCTTCTGTAGCCTTGCCTCACGACCTTTTCAAAACCCACCCGCCAACGCACTTTTCACGCATCTCGCACGTCCTATAAATGGACCGTCTTCGCCTTCCCCTCGCCTTCTGGCCCTTCCATATCTGATCACCTGAGCCGCCCCCGCAAACCCATTTGAGTTCCGAGCCATTCGGGTCGCTCTGCTGCCTTCCATGGCGAAGCCCGGCGGCGAGGCGAGACGCCAAGCCAGCGGGAAGGAGGTGCGGAAGAAGAAAGCGACGGGAAACGGCGGGGGGAGCCGCGAGGAGGAGGAAAGTCGCGACCTTGGAGGTGAAAGTGGTGGTCCCGCGATAGGGGGCTTCGGAGATGGTCGCCCGCGGAGGCACGGAGGCGGCGACCGTTCCGGGGAAAGAAGGGTTCGCTTCGCCGGTGAGGAAGAGGTAGAGGGGGGCGAAGGTGGCGGTTCGAGGGACGAAGCCGTTGCTCCTTGCGAGGAGGGTGAAGTGACCGCGGGAACTGTTAATCGGGTCGAGGGCCGAAGTCCGATCAAGTTGAGAGCGAGGGATCGTGGCGGGAAGAGGGAGGTAACAATGTATGACGACAGCGAAGACGATGGAGGTTTTGCCAAGAAGAGGGTGCGGAGACAGAAGGGCATATCGAAGGGGGGAGTTGTGGAAGTTCACGAAACAGGATCGGCTAAGAAACGAGCTGTCAGAAATCTCGATGTTGCAGGGAAAGGTACAAATGCAGGCAAAGATGAAGAAACCGTGAGGGAAAGAGGTTTAGGAATTGGCAAAAGATTATCGCAAAAGAAAAGGAAAAGCCAGCTGAGGGAAACAGAGAGCAATGCGGGGATAAACAGAGAGGCCACACGCGTGAGACCAAATAAACATGACCCTAAGGTAAACGCAAGTGTCTCTCCATGTTTTTTCATTTGGGTGTGTGCGTGGTGCTACGACTGATGACGTTTTGTTCTTGGTATTGATTCAACAGTGGTTAGAAGAGGAGTGTCGAATGTGCCATCAATGCCAGAGGAGCGATAAAGATCGTATTGTTCGGTGTAAAAGTTGTAAGAGGAAGCGATTTTGTGCACCCTGCATTAAGAATTGGTATAACATTGGTCCTGCACCTTTGGTCGGTCTTCCTTTGCCTGCTCATACAAGATGCGCCTCATCTTGCTGTTATGATGACTGTGAATGGGTTGGTTGAAATAAATAGCAAACGATTAATTTTGATGAGCTCGAATGCAATGGGACCTTCTTTTTCTCTGGTTTTTGGTGCTTGTTATGTTTCTTGTGCGCAGGGCACCAGGAGACTAAACAATGTGTTTTGACAACAGGAATTCTTTATATGGAGTATGATTAGGATTTTTGGTTTTCTGTATTAATGCTCCAGTGAGCTCATACTACTACTCATGGAGCAATTAAATGCAGAGATAGGGTTCTTTGAACTTTGCCTCAAAATTATACTAGACACAAATGAGGTATAATGTGACCGATAGATTATATATTGCTCAGTTACCATGATCATGAAGTAGCTGGATTCAAGGTGCGTAAACATTGGTTAAATCAGTAAAAACCTGGAAAATGTGTCTTGGCTTGAGCACCTTGTGCTTTTAACATGGTCTGCTGCTTCTGGAAGTTTATTGATTGAAGTCCCTACACCTAAATAGCAAGGTGAAATTTGTAGTGGGGAATTCCCTTAAGTAAAAACTGTGCTTAATGCCCATTCATTTTCCTGATTTTTTATTGGGATATTGGGCAATTTACTCTTCTTTGGCTTGGTGCGTAGGTATCCTATGACAACAGAGGAAGATATTGCCAAAGCTTGCCCATTTTGTCGTGGGAACTGCAATTGCAAAGCATGCTTACGTCTAGATGCACCAGTTAAGGCATCTGTTTTCACTCACATCTTCTCTCTTGATATGCCAAACTGTTTTCATTGATGTTCACATGCATAGGCAGAGCTGCCAATTCCACGTGTGTTCATGCCTATCTAATTCATTGTGTTTGTTGTAGAATCTGAGGAAGATGGAGTTAGTAACTAATGAAGAAGCTACTAAGCATTTCCGATATTTGCTGCAAGCACTGTACCCATTCGTGAAACAATTTCTTGTGCACCAAATGATGGAGGTGGAGTTCGAGGCAAAGAGAAAAGGTATTTCCTGCTTGTGCCGTGAATAAAAAAAAGGAACTTACACTTTGATTTGATACATGATGATAATGACAAGAAATGCCCTTCACTTATTCCTTTGCACTTTGATTTGAACTTGCAATGTCCACTTTCTTCTCTTGATATCCTTTTCTGGGATCAAAGGTTAGTCATCTGCTGATTTCATGGGGGCAGCCTGGCAGGGACTTGCCATTCAATGATATCTTATGTTAGTTCAGAAGAGTATTTTGGGAGAGCATGGTGGTCAAAATTTTAACTTATATAGCATCAGAATATATCTTTATGACCTTGCAATTTGGGAGTGCAAAAGGATATGTCCCACTGGATTTCCAGCTGTTCCTTCTCTTTTAGTCTTCACTCTTGGGGTTGATTGTAAGTGGTTCATCTAGGTTATTTTGTATTCTTATAACAATAAGGTGATGCCTTTCTTAACTTGCTTATGTCCATTTGATTTGGCAGGGCTACGAATTCAAGAGCTCAACATTGCGAAGGCAGGATGTCATGCTGGTGAACGAGTGTACTGGTAAGAGTTCTGCTTTGAGAGCCTACTGCTCACCACTTCCCATCACATAAATCATTTCTACCAGTTAGTTTAATTACAACAGAAATTTTTCAGCGACAACTGCAGAACATCTATCATCGACCTCTACAGATCCTGTCCCAAGTGTTCTTATGATCTCTGCCCAGTGTGTTGCCAGGAGATCCGTGAAGGACGTCTTCGGGGTAGTCAGGAGGAAGTAGTAATTGAGTACATTGACAGAGGGGAAAAATATTTGCATGGTCTGAAGGTGGACAGTGTTGATGTTGCAGTTGAACTTAATCAATCAGAAGTAAAAGTAGAAACTAGGTGGAAATTGGCAGAAGATGGAAGTATTCCTTGCCCGCCAAATAACATTGGAGGCTGTGGCAATGGCCTTCTGGAGTTGAAGTGTATACTAGAAGAGAATTTTGTTCTAAGATTGGTGGAAAAGGCAGAAGTGATTGCTAGAGAGCTCATGCCTACAAGTTCAGGTCATGGTCCTCCACAATGTCCTTGCCTTAAGCCAGAAGGCAATGTGGAGAAAAGTGGTAACCATTTAATGAAAGCTGCTAGTCGAAGTGATTCTAATGACAACCATTTGTTCTGTCCAAAGGCTAAAGAAATCCAATCTGGGGATCTAATACATTTCCAGAGCCACTGGATCAGAGGAGAGCCTGTAATCGTCAGCAATGTGCTTGAAACTGGAACTGGTTTGAGCTGGGAACCTATGGTTATGTGGCGTGCTGTCCGCCAGATATCACATAAAAAACATGGCCAACATAAGGATGTGAAGGCGATGGATTGCTTGGATTGGTGCGAGGTTAGTTAAATCTCTAATTGCTGGGGATTGGTCTCAATACTTCTTTTATGAATTCCCTGCAAACTTTTGGACCTACTTCTGCATCTTAAGTTTGGCAGAATGTTCTACTCTTTTCCCCGCCTTTTCATATATTAGCTGCTTGGTTTGTTGGAAGAAACTATAACAAGACAACACTGGTTGCAGATTGCTCGTCTTGGAGAACTCTCAAAGATGAGAATCCTGCTTCCAATGGAATATTATGTTCCCATAGTGTTCCTGCTATATAAATAATCGTGTGGGTTGCAATTATCTTTTAACTGAAAGCTAACTTGAACATCTTCCTTTGAGAGCATAGTCAATAATTTAAATCTACCACGGTTTGTTGCCCAATTTATGCTAAAACTGTTTGCTCTGGTCTTATCTCAAAATACATTCGGCAATCAGTTTATCAATTACTACTGATGAAAGTAATAACTGTCAAAATTCGACATACATTATTTACTTCTCTTTCATTATTGAGAATTAATCACATGAATTCTTGAAGGGTTTATGAGGCTTATTGTCATATATAGGAGAACTTTTACCTTCAAAAAGACTTAATTCCTTCTCTAAATAAACAAGAGAAGTGAGTTGAGTACAATCTGTGCTTCATTGTGTGTAGGTTGTTCTTGCTCTTTCTACTAATGAGCCCCCATTCTTTCATGACTTGATGCTAAGTAGTCCATTAATAATTGGTGGCGATAGGAACATTCCTATTTGTCATGGAAGAGAAAAGCTCTCTTTGCTATTTCCTGTAGCACATCGAATTGAATATCTTTTCAAACCATTTCTTGTCATTCCTTGCAGCTATTTATCCTTACCTGTTGAAAACAAGATGGTTTTGTCATCTTCTCTTTACTATCCTACCTCTTCTTCCATCTCTTTCCTTTGATCCAGATAAACCTTTTGGTCTTTGCTTCAGTTTTGGCGCTGCTCTTATTAGATGCTTACAATTTTTGTTCTTTCTTGAAATGCAGGGAGATATTAATATTCACCAGTTTTTTGCTGGATATACCGACGGCAGATTTGATAAGGAATATTGGCCCCAATTGCTTAAGTTGAAGGATTGGCCTCCTTCTCATTTGTTTGACGAACGTTTGCCACGTCATGGTGCTGAGTTTGTTTGCTGCTTGCCTTTTAAGGAGTACACGCATCCTTCCAGTGGTTTCTTAAACCTTGCAGTGAAATTGCCCCAGAATTCACTTAAACCAGATTTGGGTCCGAAAACTTATATCGCTTATGGATTTGCTGAAGAGCTAGGGCGTGGAGATTCAGTCACCAAGCTTCACTGTGACATGTCTGATGCGGTATCTTCTCAACTCTGTGAACCTCAAATTGTTGCACCTTTGCTCTTGCATTTGTTCGTCTTACTGGACAGACTGCACATGAACTAAAATTTGTTGGTATGTCAGTAAGGATGGTGTGAGCATAAATGGAAAATGAGTTACATGAGGAAATTTTTTCTAAGAGATACACTAATTATGTAGGTTTGGAGACAATGGTTAATCATCTCTTTCCCCCCTAGAAACATATACATCCTCCTATTCATTTGTCCAGAATTGCCCATTTGAAGTATGAGTTAACTTAAAGCAAAATTTACTTTTCAAATGAGACACACAGTAGGCAAAGTTTGTTCTGGAATTTGAAATTTGTACACTGGCTTGAGGTTTCTTAAAGCATTTATGTTGAAAATTGTCCTATTTGTTTTCCAGATCTAGTGCCTTTATGATGTTTGTCAGGCGTACTTGTTCTGAAGAACACGTGTGATTGATTATATTTACTTTTCTCTTCTATTTATCACGTTTTGTTCTTCTCTCAATGCAATTGAAAGCGATTGTGTCTATATTTACCAATGTCAGAAGACAGCAGATCAGTAGGGTCAGAGTTGGTAGATATTGTGTGGAATTTGTGGATATTAATCAGACTGGCAGGGCTTTAGTTGATGTTTGTTATACCTTGATAGTTTTACTTGATTATGCTCGATGTTACTATTATGTGGCAGTGCGATGCAAGCCACTGCAAAAATGTTGTAGCTCAGATTAGTTCAGATTTGATGTCATGTCCTTATTTTCCTATCTCCTGTAGAACTTTAACTACTTAGCTATTACTCTTTTTACTGTTGTTGACCTAATATTCAGGAGATCTTTAAATTTATAACTTGGTTGTTTCGTGTTTCATAATGAGCAATTTGTTCGCAAAGCATGGGGATATGATTTTCAGTTATCAATTGCCAGTGCCTTTATACCTCAATTTTTTTAAACAAGCTGTCGCCTGTAACATCTTTAGGTATCTGATGCTTCCCATTAACTTTCTAAATAGCCTATCTTCAGTCGGCAGTTGCTTATGAACCTGAAGAGAGAAAATGAGGCCTGCTTTTTCTAATCAACCCAGCTAGAATTTTCTAGGAAGATTCTGAAATCAATCTGTTTTCGTGAGCATTGAGCTTGATTTGACGTGTAAAGTTGAACATGATCTAAAAGTCCGAAGGATAATTACATGTGTTGGTGAAGTGGTAACTTGTGATCTGGAACATATCCTGTTATCATGTTATTCTGCCTTTTGTATTAGAAATGACTGCCATTATGTGGTTGCAATGATTTGGAATGAGAAATATTGTTGAAGATAGGTATCTGCTGCAGCTATAATTGTCTCTGTTTCTCACAAATTCACAGCAAGAGTCACATTTATTGATTGATTGCTAAATATCCAACGTGACTGGTGCATGTAGTGATTTGGATGGAGCTGATTCTTGTGCTGCTGTTTGGCTGTACAACTGTTTCAGGTCAATGTGCTTACACATACTGCAGAGGTAAGATATACAAGGGAACAAATGAAAATAATGGACGAGTTGAAGCAAAAACATCGAAAGCAAGATCAAAGAGAAGGGATTGAAGTTTGTAAGGATCTTGAGAAAACAATTGACAATACTACATACAACAATCTTGTATGCGGGGCAGATGAACGATGTGATACTAATGGTCATGTTACATTGGATGGGAGAATTCCTTTAAGTACAGCAAATATGACCAAGACTGGAGAAGGAGAAGCCAGTCCAGGAGCTATCGATGGGGCTTTTGGAACTTCAAGAACTTCTGGAGATGTGTTGGATGCAGCTGAGGGAGGTGCGGTCTGGGATATTTTCAGGAGAGAGGATGTTCCTAAGCTGCAGGACTATCTGAAAAAACACTTCAGGGAATTCAGGCACACTCATTGTTGTCCTCTGCCTCAGGTAATTACCTGGCTAAGTGGACTTCGAGCTCTGATGTACAGCGGTAGCTTTCATAGAAAGATCTGTGGCCGTTATTTTTTTTCCCAGTATTTTGATATAGATTGAATGTTTTACATCTCATTCCTTTAGTAAAGGGCTTCAAATGGTACTTCGGCTCCATTTGATTATCACTAGCTTGTAGTGCATGGAGAATTCTCTTCGAGAGGGATGGTGTCATAGATGGATCTTCAGCCACATCAAAGCTTTGTTGAAAAGTCTAATCTTGTCTTGGTAGAGAGATCAATAAATCATGCTTATTGATAGGTCCAAGTGGTGTGCTTCAAAGTCGGTGCCTAATCAGTACTGCAGGCTGATTGCACGACTCATGGTAGCTATGTAGCGTATTAAACGAAGCCATAATATGAGCTGTTGAATGATTCAGGAGAAGTTAAATTAATTTTTGTTCTTTGTGCTGTTGTGCAATTGTTTCTGACTTGTGAAATAATCTGCATCTTTGCTCGGTGCAGATTGTACATCCAATACATGATCAAACCTTTTATTTGTCTAGGGAGCACCTAAGGAAGCTAAAGGAGGAATTTGGTTAGTCTATTACAGTACGTCCACACAGTCTGCACATTAATTATCCTACTCTTTGCTTATTGACTTTCATGTTTCTGTGTTTAGGAATAGAACCCTGGACATTTGTGCAGAAGCTTGGTGATGCTGTCTTCATTCCTGCTGGCTGTCCTCATCAAGTCCGGAATTTGAAGGTGGACAATTTTTTTGTTAAAATATTGATCCTTATAAAATCTTTTGGAATGTGTGCTCTGTTTGTGAAATAAAGTAAACGTTGATGAATTGCTTCTCAGCAAATGTCCCTTAAAACATGAATTTCTTCTTAGCAAACTTGATCAATTGTGGACTGGGAGGTGAGATGATGATTACACAACTCACTGCTAATTGGTATTTAAGCAAATACCCATTCAGCTAAGAGATGTCACAGTTTGTGCTAATCAAGAGATGATGTCACTTTTGGGGTAAAAAATCGCACCTTTTGATAATTGTCGCGTTGCTTCTTTAAATTCATTGAGGTTGATCATTTTTTCTATTTCATGCATGCCTGAAGTAAAGTAAAGCCTTTCTCGTAGATTGCATAAAAAACAGGCTTATGAATTGGATTATTAGTATAGTTTGATCATTACAAGGTCACCTGTGATGTTGTAATGAATTGTGTATGTGGTTATTTGGTAATTTTTTTCAAATTTTGTAGATGATTCAATTAGTAATCTGTTGTATTATCTCCACTGTTATGGCAAGTAGGATATTTAATAATACAAGTGATGCTTTGTCATTCAACAGTTTTAAAGTAAAAGTTGATAAGCTAGAGGAAGAACACTAACTGAATCAGAATTTATCTAAAATTTGACATAAATAATAGCTAAGAATTGTAAAAAGCTCCCTGGGTTACAACAGTGTTGACTTGCTTTGAAAAGTGGCAAATGAAATGCACTCTGCATAAATGGTTTGGCTTCTCTAGTGCATTGATATTTTAGCTTTCCAGTATGTCTTATGCTGCTCTTCTTTTGTTGCAGTCGTGTATCAAGGTTGCACTTGACTTCGTTTCTGCTGAGAATGTTAGTGAATGCATCCGCTTAACAGAGGAATTCCGTTTACTTCCCAAAAACCATCGAGCCAAGGAGGACAAGTTGGAGGTTTGTTACTTCTACTTGTATGAGGGATTCAACATTAACGCAATTGTTGATTGAATCTCATATTTAGAGAAGTCTGTTTTTCTTTTAATTATTTGTCAAATTGTTGACAGTCCATCTGAGTATTTCTTGCTATCGTCGCTATTGAGACGGTATTGTCTTTTTCTCTATTATTGCAATCTTTTCCACATGTCAACATTTGATGTTTACAATTTGATATCAGTAAATTAACTGTGTGGAATTGTGGTGAATTTGCAGTTAGATTATTGGCAAGACTCTTAGCTGGCATAACAAAAGATACCTTTCTATGTTGGCATGCGAGAATTAAATTTAGAGCCAGCTGCACTCATAGGAAAACGTTATTGTTAGAATGCCCTCTCAACATGCATTACTTCCTGGAGTCATAAATTAAATATTCAAAGTTTTTGTTGGAAGTATAACACTTCTATTCTGATAAATATTTGTTCGGGATGCAGATTAAGAAAATGATGATTTATGCTGTCAAACAGGCTGTCGAGTTTCTGGAGAATGTGGGGTAAGAATTTCACACAATTATTTGTACTAGTTGATACTGGTGATAACAATGGGTATGAAAACAATTATGGAATCTTGTGATCACGACTTAATTTTATCATAATACAGCTGGGAAAACAATCAAAATGTTGGAAACAAAATCGCTTTTCGAAAAAGATAGTAATGGGTTTAGTGTCTTTGACTTGACACTTAACTCTTATTTTAGATAATTGCAGCTCTCATAGTTTACACATTTTATGTTAATTTCTGAGAAAATGGTTGTGTGAGCAATCCACAGCTATTTCAAGATTATACTTACTGTGATTCTCTTATTATACTTGGTTTTCTGCTGTGAGATTCAGGCCCTGAGCAGATGTTGCATCCATCTGGTATAATGTCCAAGCTGCTTTTAGTTATGGTTATGCTTTTTTTTTTAATTGTAGACTTTGTCTGATTATCTCGTACTTCCAGTGATCACTTGGTTCTTTTTTGTAATATCTTCTTTTGGCTTGGTTGGAGCTGGTGTACATAGTTTAAAAATTTGAGAGGCATCAGAAGTCAGAACTTAATGAATAGTCGGTGCACTATAAGTTGCCAAGTGTGTCTCCAAGTCTTTTATCATATTTTTGAGTTCTCGTTATTTCTCATTGAATTCTAGCATGAAAGGGCCTACGCTTCAAGTCATGTTGCATTTCTTAGGAAGTTGTATGATTCAACAGATGATCGCATCTTATTATGGTTATTAAGGCAAATTTCAGCAGGACTACATTAGTACAATGTATAGATTATATTTGAACTAGACCGCATCAATCAATTTGCGACTGTGATGATATCTGTTAGTTACATCAGCTAAATCTTGAATAGAAAGAATAGCCAACATGTTAATTGAAAACGGTATATAGAACATTGAAACAAAGAACAGAAAAAAGAATGAAAAAGAGGAATCTGTGAACCAAATTCTGTGAGGATAATGTTTCTTGTACAAGGTCCACTGATTGTTAGTTTCTTCTGTTGAAGCTTGGAAAATAGTTAGGACAAGAAATTTATCTCACTTGAAACGATAATAGACATCATAGTGGGTCCTCCAAAAAGCATTTTAAGTGTATTTAGGAGGCTGTTTTTGAGAAATTTGCAAGAGATTCTCTGGTTGGAAAAAAATCTTCCCTCTCTAAATTGGGGAGACTTGCTCTTATTGAAGTACTATTCTCAATGTTTCTATTTAGTTCACGTGTCTTTTTTCTATCCCTTGCTCGGTAGCATAAATAGTTGGAAGCATTCACGATAATTTATGGTGGGGTGATAACGAGGAAGCCCACGAGTTCCATTTGGTGAATTGGAAAGCAGTCAAGTGACTCTTTGGTGGTTTAGCCATCATGTTATTCAGCAAGGCTCTTCTTGGCAAATGGCTTTAGCAGTTCATTGTTGAAAATGAACATCTTTGAAGGAAAGTAGAGGTTGCGAAATTTCCTTGAAAAGGCAGGTTAGGTCACTTAGGATATGAGAGCTTCACATGGCACCAGTGCATGGAGGACGATTATAGAGGAATGGAGTGAGTTCCTTCTTGCTTCACGTGGAGTAGATAATTGAAATCGGACGTAGTTCTGGTCTAATGTTTAGCGTGGAGACATGGGTTTAAAAGACGGTTACTAGATCTCTCTCTTTGACATCTCCGGCAACAAGGATGCTGTTCTAGTGGATTGTGATAGATTGGACAATGGAATATTCATTTGGGTTTTGAAGTTTTTGTATGATATGAAGGTTTCTATGCAACTGTGGATGCTTTGGTGTGGAATAATGAAAATGGAATCATTTCTGTAAAGTCTTACTACGAGGTGCTAGACAAGGAGGCTGTTGCCATTTGGCGATAGAATGGATTTTTCCTTGGAAAGCAGTTCGGAATGTGAGGGTTCTTACAAGAGCTTTTTTCCTTGCTTCTTTTTGCTTGGGGGGGAACGAATGCTTATTTAACCTACATTCAACAGGCAAAGTACTGTTCAATAGGTTTTTCCTCTACAAGTGTGCTTTTGATTGAGAAAATTCTTCCATTCCCGTTGTTGAAAATCGGCTTGAAGTTTTACATATTTTATATTGAGGAAACTTGCATGTAGCTGCTTTGGTCGATACAATTGACTATTTGTCCTGTAATTGGGGTCGCTTTTGGTTTTGAGAGCTGTTTGTATATGTGATCCTGCCGTGAGAGCGTACGGAACTTCTATTCCCTTGGGTGCTCCTCTAGATGTCTCGGCAAATCTCAACCGTCGATAAAACTTTCAATTTTGTAATCAACCGTTGAGATTTATTAAGATATCAAAGGGAGTACTGTGCGGGATTGAAGGTTCATGTCTAAGTAAGATATGAGTTTATTCAACAAATTGATGCCAAGTGTCTATTCATGTTTTACTAGAATTGCTCGACATCTTATACGTAATTGTGTAATTTGTGATTGGTCACCTAGGTAGTTACATTCTGACCAAGAAAAAAACCTAGGTAGTTACATAAAAAAGTTATACAATTGATTTGATCGATATCGGTCATCGTTCCGCAATAGTTGAAATTTGCATGATTCCTTGAAAGACGAACGAAGTATTAGATTCAGCTGCAGCATAAAGCAATTGTATATTAATTGTGAAAACAACATAGAATACGATAATAAAATCTTTGTAAAGTCTTGAAAAGGTTGCCTTCGCCCGACCGCCAACCAAGCCCACTTTTCCAAGAAACCCCCACGAGTCCGCATTCTCTAGTCCCCACGACAAGGTCAGCAAAAAAAAGGCAAATTTTACGGAAATGTCTCGCACGTCCACACGAAAGACGACGGTTCATTACGTTGTTTGTCGTTAAAAAAATCAGAACAACGAAAATTGTGCAGGCAGACGAAGTAGAAGACAAAAGAGAAAATCAAAGGGCATGAGCGTGGAAATTTCTTATCCTCTAACGTGTCCCACGCATCAAGTCTGACCTTCTCTTCACGTTTCCCGCACTCTCTTTTCCTCTCCTGGAACCTTCCCTGCTTCCTCCGGACACTTTCCCTGGCTGACCAAACATTGAATCCTCCAAGCTCTAATGAATATATATACACACATATCACCCACAACCTTTTCAAGGTGCCCCCAAAGGAGAAAACCCTAGTATTCATTCTATCGTCGCTAGCTTAGTTTCCAGTTTCTTTTGTTGCGAATCGTGAATATATGCCCAGTACCATTTTTCAGGCAACGTCAATAGATACGTCTCTTGTTTTTTGTTGGTTGGAAGAGCAGAAGATGTCTCCGAGTCAATTATACTATGCCATAGCATTGGAGAGATCACCGACGACGAGCGAGAGCCCGGTATGTCTCCAGCTCATTCGGGGACTCGTTAACGTCCTCTCGGGCCATGCCATATACTCATGGGCTGCTAACAACTTGCCCGAATCCTTGTCGAGATTTCGGTCTTACCTCCTCCATCCAAAAGCCGAGGAGAAGGGCTCTCGCGTCGAGCCCTCGATGACCCGTCAGTACAGTTTCCAGGGCAAAAGGGACGATGGGGACGACAACGAGGAGGATGATGATAATGATGGTGGAGTGACCGTCTGCAGAGAAGATGTGGAGGTGGTGATGGGGAAGCTGGGGCTGTTCCACAGCCCCGAGAGCGGTGGCGGCCACGACGAGCTAATCGGTTGGGACAGACCGATGAGCTGCGTCGGGATTTCGCGGGTGTTCAAGGAGGAAGAGGCGAGCATGGAGGAAGTGAGGGAGGCCTTCTATGTGTTTGATGTGAATAGGGACGGGTTCATCGACGCCAAGGAGTTGCAGAGGGTCTTGTGCGTGTTGGGGTTTGATGGAAGAGGTGGAGGAGGAGGGTTGGAGGAGGAGGAGTGCGAGAGGATGATCAGAGCGTTTGATGAGAACGGGGACGGCAGGATTGATTTCCAGGAGTTTGTAAAGCTTATGGAGAAGTGCTCTTGCTGAAATTTCACATTCTTTTTTATGGTGCGCGACATTATTCAGGCTTCATCATCTGAAGATGACACAAATGATGAAGTCGTAATTCTCTCAATGAAATAGAGGTGTTTTTTTTTTTATTTTGGGTTTTTTTTTTGCTAGAGTAAATTATTTAAGGAAACAAAGGTGCAAATAAAGATGTGGAAATTTCATTTTAAAGGCTCAAATTACAATGGATGTGTGGTGAAATATTTCACACATAGGTCGGCCGTGTTGGTTGGTTGGTTAATTCCTCCAAGTAGAGATATATCGTCAGCCATCGCGAGGGTCGATTGCCTATAATATGTGATTTTAACAAACAAAATCTCTCCCCTCCCTACCTCCCGAGTACTTATTGCCTGCACCCGAAACCTATGGGCTCAGCTCACATGCTCCGTTAGATCAAGTGGGTCCCATGCGGGGCCCACCTCATCAATGGTTGATATGAGCTAGTCACACTTGATCCAGATACATCTAATAATTTTTCGTCCCTTCCACCCTTTTCTACCATTCAAGTGTGCCGTCGTAGCTAGACCTGTAAAACGTGTGGGTCGAATAAAAAATGGTCTGACCCAAATTAACCCGTTTTGACCCAATCTCCATCCCAACCCACACTCGACCCAACCCATATTGTTGAAACACATATATTTAATCAAATCTAGGAAACCCATATCCAAACTAAGGTGAAAACACAAAGTGAACGAGAGCGAGATCGAGTTAGGGTAAGAGAGAGTGAAGAGAGAGTCATAAAAGTGAGTTGGGTTTAAGTAAGTTGCGAATCTATTTAACAACCATATTAAATTCATTTATGACCCATTTATTGCATATAACTAATCTATATAACAACTCAACTTATCAAATGTGGGTTAAGAAATAGGATTATGATCCATTTTGATAGGTCTAATCACAGCAAAGAGAGTTGCTGCCGTTTCATGGCATGTGCAAATGGAGAGAGCAGAAGTCGCGCCAAAGATATTGCGGGTTATAAGAGTCGACAATGGTCATGAACGGTGGCAATGGGTAAGCTAAGCTAGAAAGAGTTAAGAGAGAAAAATTCATAATTCCATATTGTGGCTAATTTGTTCTGTGATTATGACGTTATCTTTGTCTATCGATCCCAAAATGATTGGAGGCAGTGTGCACAGGCAATAGTGGTGGTTAGAGGAGTTGATGATCACAGTGAATGGCGGCAGTGGTTAAGCTAAGCTAAGCTAGGAAGAGAAAAGGAAAAATTATAAAGGCACCGATAATTTCCAAACCTATTAATTTATAACCTTTTTTGTCAAATTGGATCCATCTATCCTTTTTTTTTTTTTAGTTAGTCCTGTTAAATTTATGGATGGAATTTCCGACGTAACAGACGATGTTAATACAATATCAACATGGTCCACTAATTCCTTGATGATGTGGAATAAAAAGAAAATAAATCAGAAAAACTACATTATACTAAAATTGAGCCCAAAAAAAAAGAACCAAAAAGAGAAGCCACGTAAGGGAATCTCTACAATTCAAAGATTTCAGATGCAAATTCCGAAATGGACCACAAAAGGGGATGCAAATTCTGGAAAAATCAACCAATTACTTGGATCCATCACGGTTTTTGCAATAGCAGAAAGGATCCTCTTCGCCTCTTCGGTGAAGACTATGGCCCCAAGTCCGTCTATCAGATTGGAGCTTCTGAATTCAAGTGATTTCGAGCTCCTGCCTCTTACCGTACATCATGTTTGGTTCCCGGTAATAGCTAATTCCATTCCGAGTTTGTTTATAATGAAACAACCATTTCTTTATTTGATCCAAAACTTGATTAAATTTAATCCGAGTTGTTCAAGTAGTAAGCATGCCCATCCTCCTCACTATCGCCATACTTGCGCATTATCTTGAGACCACTCTTAGGAGCACAGATTTATGTGTCTCCAATAATTACCCAATGTTTATGAAAACGGAGGGACTGCCACAACCGAAAGGGAATTAGTCAACTATTCAAAATGCCTCGAACACCCATTGATATCAGAAATTGATCGGTAAAAGCTATTCCAAGATTATTCTCTGTGAAACAAGAGCAAACCAAACAAGATATGGTCTTGAGATAGCTACTACATTCTCTAAATCCAACAAAAGAATAGTTATTCCATTCCTGTTCCTAGGCTACTCTATCCCTTTGGAATGACTGCATTCCTGCCTTATCTCGTGACTCACCTGAGCTCTAAAGGGGTAGAATACAAAAGCCAGGCTAGGCAATGATCATCATAGAATTGCTCAACCATACCAATATCCAAGATGACTGTTTAGAAACAGAAAAGGCAGCTAGGAGACAGACAGTCACTAATGCGTGAGTCCCATCACTACGCTTGACCTCCTCAGTCGCACGAGGGCAACAAAAACACCTGGAAAGACAGTTCAGTGCTCCTAACATTCACACGTGAATATCGGGGCCAGCTTAGCAGTGCCATGTCAATGATTTGGCGATGTTAATAGCAATAGAGGATGATAGGATTGAATAGCAAAAATAGAAGATCCTTCCAGATCTTGATTGAACAGAGAACAAAAGATCATAGGACAAAATGGTATAAAAAATACAGGACTACTATAAAACTAAAATTGTACTTAACCCTTGAAAAGGTCAACTGATGCTCCTTTGAGATATCATGAACAACTCCTCGTTTGAGAAAATAAGTTCATCAAAACCACTTAAAGAGTATGATGACACTTTGATTCAGATTTTGTCGGAAATACATGAATTAAATCGCTTACATATTCAGTGAAATTGGTAGAAGCTAAGTACTAGATTTCCATAGTCACATGACTCCCCCACCTCCCTTGCAGTTTCGTTCGTTTCACTATAGGATTTAGAGTAGGCTATGGACAAACTGACTGGATGTTGAAAGAAATTACAAAATAGAAAGTGGATAGTCTCGGTTGACTTCCAAACAAATTGCACCCATTTTTTACAAAGCAGCCAGGCGACCTCATGCGCATAACAATTACTTCTGGCGAGCTTATAAATGGAGACAGCTAGACAACATGTAATCAGCAATTTGGCAACAAGTCCCTATCAACAATTTCTTCTGAAGCGTGAAAGTTGCCCAAATCTCAAAAGTCCCATTAATGTCGGAAGAGATCATACATTCAACAAGACAAACCTGAGCCACTGAAGCAATGCATTTGAATAAAAGTTAAATTTCCTTGTCCAAACATCTCTTCCCACACTTGATCGACATGGAAGCGGAGAAAAACCACCTAAAGATTTTTCCACTGAGCAGCCGGGCACAGCTCAATGCCCATAATAAGGTGGTTGGCCGGGTAGTGAAGCTCCTCCAGGACTGACATGAGGCATTCTCATGGAAGCTGCATTTGGAGAAATTTGGCCGGTTTGTGGCATGGGAGAAGAACCAACGGGCATGGCAGCAGCAGAATACTGAGGATAGCTGGGTGGGGCGAAGTTTTGGCCAGGAAAAGAACCAGGAGCAGATACAAAGCCTGGTCTTGCATTCATTGTCTGATCCCATGAGGGAACTTGTCCCCCAGGCATCGGAGCTTGTGCAGAATTTGCAGCGCTTATCGCAGGATTCTGCCAGACTGGTGGGGCAGTAGGATGTCCAGAAGTAGGCTGGGCTGCAAGCAAACTAGGGTCGGGAATTGTGTAATCTCTACTTTTGTCACTGTAAGCCTACACAGAGAAATAAAGGGATTCTTTTCAGATTCAGAGAACAGACCCCCCGATGATGATAATTTTGTTGAAAGGTTTAGAAAAGTTGACAAGAAAGAGGCAGCACTGGTGTTCTAAGAAGCATACATCATAAGGTTGTTTTGGCCAAAACAGGTCCAACTTTTTCTTCTTTTCACATCATTATCTTTTTCTTCTCAATGATTTAAACAATAACTCAAATAATACCTTTATATTGAGATCAGTATGACGAGAGTATGATAGATGAAGCTTACAATAACCACCATCATATATGCAATGGCCCTCTAACGCCTCTTTGGCAACTGCCGCAGTCGGTATGTCTAAGAGAGAAAATTTCAAACATCAATTGGCAGAAGAAAAAACAAATTCAGTCACTCACGAATATAGGAAATCAACCAATCTGAAATCAGAGGGACGTATAAGACAAATCAAGAGACATCTAAAACCACCAAATAAATATGGTTCTGATGGATACATTCCCTAAAATTCCGAAAACAGGAACATGACAAAAAAGGCGTTGTCCAATAAAACAACTGGTTGGCCTCAAAAAAAAAAAAAAATCAGAGCAAACAACTCATTACAGGAATCCCCGAACCACAACTTAACTTGACCAATTGACCACACAGAATTATCAAATAAGACTGCTAGCAACATTGGGATTGCTTTCATTTATCAGAAAGTAAACGAGTAAGAAAAGAGAGAATCCCCTAGTGGATAACAATTGACTTATTTGAGTATGAGATACTATATTCTAAAAAATGTAATCATTCTCAAACTATGTATAACCAAACCTTCTGGCAAACTCCAGTACATGAATGAGCTACGCAACATAACGATTCGAGGCAGGTTCATTAAGAAAAAAAGACAGTAGAAACTACGCTCAAAGAAAGATCATCAATATTAGGAAAAGAACGATACCAGGGTACTGAATCAATGCTTGAGTTCCACCATTCTTCTCAAATATAGCAATTTTTTGCACAGGACCAAAAGCAGAAAACACCTGCAATAAATGAAGTAAGACTCCTCATCTTTTAGTAAATGAATAATCTTAAAAGGTAAAAAGATGCTAGACGACTGCCCACCGTGTGAAGTGCATCCACTGTAACGGCATACTGCATGTTTTCTATTGAAGCAAGAAGCACATTACTCTCAGGTTCATTCTTCTTTCCATCAGGACCTACACCAGGCTGATTAAGAAAACCTCATCAGTGAAGGAATATAAGCCATTTTTAAGTTAACAATATAAGAAAATAAAGAATCTTGCCTGCATAATTCCCTCAATTGCAGTTGGATTAACAGGAAG